AAAGAAGGAGCAGCGTGGATATGGCTCTCTGGGCTCTGCCCTGTCCCAGCTCTTCCTCCCTCCTGGTAGGAAGAGTAAGCTTCCGAGGAAACCCAGCAGGCGTGGGTTTGACCTGTGCAGTCCTCAGAAGCCTCTCCTGCCTCCCTCCCACAGCCATGGGGCCCCAGTGGGTTTTGAGAACGTGGAACTTTTCAACTGAGAACTTGGTTGGGAAGTGGGCTTTCATGTCCTGGCTGTCATAGGTAGGGAGCGGGTCATGGCACTGGTCCCCAGGAGAACCTCTTCCCAGAATGCACATTTGCAGAGGTCACATTGGCCTATGACCGTGGCCTTGATGTGCCCCCCTCCCCAGGCCACATCACACCAAGTGCCTGGAACCCCAGCCTCAGGGAGCCACATGCTCCAAGGGTTCCTGGGGTCCAGCCACAGCTGACCAGCACTCTCTGCAGGCCCAGGCCAGAGCATCGCCCAGGATGCCCGCCCTGCCCGTCCAGGGAGCAATCGTCTCTCCACCTTCAGGTGAGTGAGCAGGGTGGGCTGCTCCTGGCTGAGTGACCACATGCCGAGCCTGGTGGGGACAGAATTGCCAGGGCAGCCCAGCAGCACAGTGGGAGAGGAGCCACCCACCTCTTACTGCCTGGGTGACGCAGGCCGGGTCACCTTGTCACCCCGCCCCAGGTCCATTCTTCCTCAACTGTCTGGGCGGTGCCTATGAATCCTTCCAAACCCAGCGTAGTCAGGGAAGCCGGGACCGCCTCAGGGCTGTGATCACATGGGGGCCATGTCTACATAAACCACCTGAGTCACCCCAGGTCGGCACCATTCTGGTGACCCAGCCTCGTGTGATCCTAGCAATGAAATGAGGCCAGGCCAGAGAGAGAGGTCCATGTGCCAGGTCTTTCTGCTAGAAATGGAAGGGGGTCGCTGAAGGAGGTAGCGGGAAGAACCAGGGGCAGCAGAGGCAAAGGAGAGAAGAGACCAGAACCTTACACGTCTTAGTCCGCCAGGGCCACTGGAACAAAATGGCACAGGCCGCGCGGTGGAAACAGCAGAAACGTGCCGTCTGCGAGGTCTGGAGGCCGGAAGTCTGAGGTCAAGGCTCTGCCCACTTTGGTTTCTAGGGAGGACGTTTCTCCTGGCTCGAGTTCTCACATGACCTTTCCTCTGTGTGTGTCTGTGTGTGTGTGTGTGTGTACCGTGGCCTTGATGTGCCCCCCTCCCCAGGCCACATCACACCAAGTGCCTGGAACCCCAGCCTCAGGGAGCCACATGCTCCAAGGGTTCCTGGGGTCCAGCCACAGCTGACCAGCACTCTCTGCAGGCCCAGGCCAGAGCATCGCCCAGGATGCCCGCCCTGCCCGTCCAGGGAGCAATCGTCTCTCCACCTTCAGGTGAGTGAGCAGGGTGGGCTGCTCCTGGCTGAGTGACCACATGCCGAGCCTGGTGGGGACAGAATTGCCAGGGCAGCCCAGCAGCACAGTGGGAGAGGAGCCACCCACCTCTTACTGCCTGGGTGACGCAGGCCGGGTCACCTTGTCACCCCGCCCCAGGTCCATTCTTCCTCAACTGTCTGGGCGGTGCCTATGAATCCTTCCAAACCCAGCGTAGTCAGGGAAGCCGGGACCGCCTCAGGGCTGTGATCACATGGGGGCCATGTCTACATAAACCACCTGAGTCACCCCAGGTCGGCACCATTCTGGTGACCCAGCCTCGTGTGATCCTAGCAATGAAATGAGGCCAGGCCAGAGAGAGAGGTCCATGTGCCAGGTCTTTCTGCTAGAAATGGAAGGGGGTCGCTGAAGGAGGTAGCGGGAAGAACCAGGGGCAGCAGAGGCAAAGGAGAGAAGAGACCAGAACCTTACACGTCTTAGTCCGCCAGGGCCACTGGAACAAAATGGCACAGGCCGCGCGGTGGAAACAGCAGAAACGTGCCGTCTGCGAGGTCTGGAGGCCGGAAGTCTGAGGTCAAGGCTCTGCCCACTTTGGTTTCTAGGGAGGACGTTTCTCCTGGCTCGAGTTCTCACATGACCTTTCCTCTGTGTGTGTCTGTGTGTGTGTGTGTGTGTGTGTGCGTGCGTGCGCATGTATGTGAGAGAAAGAGAATGCAATCTCTGGGGTCTCTTCTTTCAAGGACACTGAGATCCTTGGGGTTGGGGCCCACACTGTGACTTCGCCATTTCCTTAAAGTCCCATCTCTGAACAGAGCCACACCAGAGACTGGGGCTTCGACACAGGAATTTGGGGGGACGTAAACATTCAGATCACGGCACCTCCCAGGCAGCACCACGGGTCCTGCTAGGTCCCAGGCACCAGGAGGGACTGAGGGGTTTCTGGGAGGGGTGCTCCCTGATGCTGGGCTGGGACAAGGCCTGCCTGCCTGGGTCTGTGGTCAGCGTCGGCTCCAGGGATACAGCCCCAGCTCTTCTGGCCATGGCCAAGCACTCGTGTGGGCTTTATGCCCAGCTCACCCGCTGCAGCCTCTTTGAGGGGACACCAGGAACGCTGGCTCAGTGGGGGCTTTGACTTCCTGACTTGGAGCCACCATACCCAGCTGCCTGGGGAGACCAGGGGTTTGCAGTGGCCACACAGGTTGCTCGTGGCAGTCCAGATCCAGGTCCTGAGGAAGCAAACTTGAACTCAGGCCCAACTCTTCCCCTCCTCACCGATTCCACGGGCTGTATTTTGTTTCTTTTGTTTCTGCTTTTGTTTTAGTTGGCTATAGGGCACGTGCACTCACAGGAGAGAGACAGAGATAGACAGACAGAGAGAAAGTGAGAAAGTATCCCCAGGTGCGGTGGCCACGCTGCAGTCCCTTCTCCTCCATTTTCTTCTTGGGGTTTTGGGCACACACGCATATACACCCACCATGTTTTTCAAGCTGCCGGATTTGGGACTTGAACTGCACAGTTGGTCAAGTGGAATCCAGTTGCCTTAACCACCATGCTACCAGCTGGACCCCACAGTCTATAGCCCATGGGCCCGATGCTTGCCTCCCACAGCCCGTGCCTCCCACATGGGGCCAGCCCTGGCCCTGCACTCGTGTCAGACGTCTGACCAGTGCCAAGTAAGGTCTATCGAGTTGAATACCAAAGCGGTACTGAGGGACTCCGGGTCGCGTGCGGCTCCTGGGCACAGGCAGACCCCGCCCCTCAGGCCTCACCAGCCAGTGTTCCTGGGGCTCTGCATTCCCTGCAGTCCCGGGAATAAGCAGCTTTTTCCCAGGCTCCAAAATCAAGCAGCCACAGGGCAGCCAGGCAAGTGAGTCTGAGCACGTGTCCTCGGGTGACACCTTCTTTTCTTTCTCTCCCTTCCCCATCAGTTTTGTACCCAAACCTGGCGGAACTGGAAAATTATATGGGTCTTTCCCTCTCCAGCCCAGAAGTCCAGCAGAACCTGCCTCAGACCCCAGAGGGTGAGCGTGTAGGTATTCGTCCATCTCTTGCCCCCGGGGGCACAGGACGTCCCCACCCTTCCTCCTTGTTGGTCTTGCCGTTTACACGGACTTCCTTTATGTGTCTGGATTGCCTCTTTACCCAGCGTGCTTTCTACCTTCCTTGTATTTATTATTATCATTTTTTTTAAAGTCAGAGGGCATGTGTGCTCGCTAGAGAGAGAAGGCCCTCCTAGAGCGTGGTCGCGCTGCAATCCTTCCTCCTCCCTTTCTCTATCCTGTCGGGATTCGGGGCATGCGCACACACACGCTGCATGTGTTTTTCAAGTGTCTGGGGCCAGGATTTGAATCTACAGTTGGCCATCTGGGATCTGACTCCCTATAACACAGGGTTTCACCGTGCCGTGGACCTGCCCTACCGCACCCCTAGCATGCTTATGGCTCTGTTTCTTTCTTCTTTCTTGTTTTTATTTACTTATTTATGTATTTATTTTATGAGCGAGAGACAGTGTGAGAAAGTGAAGCAGCCCTCAGCAGAGTCTCAGACCGCCCTCCTCTCCCTGACTTCTCAGCTAGCTGGGGTCACAGGCACATGCCCGGGTCACCCAGGAACCAAACCCGTCTTGCACTTGGCCTCCAGCTCTGCAGAGCAATGTGTCCCTGCTGTGCCATGTGGCAGCGCCCCCGTGGCTGTGACCCTGTGGCTCCGTTTCTTGCTGGTGCTTTTTATTTTGCACCTTCATGAAGAGTGCTTTGGGGTTTGGTGGTTTTAGTTCTTGTCATAGGTCTTGGGACTGAAGGGCCAGGGCCACCCAGCTCCAGTCCCCAGATCAGCCAGTAATGCTTGGTTCCCTCTTTCTATACCTTCTCGGAGCCAAAGCAACCATGACACAGGAATACGGAGTGTGGAGTGTTCACTCGCCGAATCGGTCCCACCCTAAGCCCCTCCCGATCAGCTCTAGCCTGCCCGCAGCCCCCTGCAGGCCTCCCCCTGGCCCACTGAGACCTACTGCAAAATTTTTGTATAAGGAATGAAGTTTAGGTCAAGGTCCATATTTTTGCCCATGATTGTCTGATGGCTCTGGTACCATTAGTAAAGACAATCTTGAGGCCAGCAGGTGGCATGGTGGTTAAGGTGCTGGATTCCACACAACCAACTCTGTGGTTTAAGTCCAGGCAGTTTGAAACACATCAGGCACGTGTGTGCATGTTCAAAGTCCCAAGAGGAGAATGAAGGAGAAAGGATTATGGTGTGGCCATTCCACCTGTTGGGTACTTTCTCACTTTCTCTCTCTCTCTGGCTCTCTCCAGAGAGCACATACACCCTATCGCAAAAATCTGTTGAAAAAAAGAAAGAAAGAAAGAAAGAAAGAAAGAAAGAAAGAAAGAAAGAAAGAAAGAAAGAAAGGAAGGACAATCTTTCCTCCAATGAATTTCTCTTGTATCCTTGTCAAACGCCAATGAGTTCTACTTGTGTGAGGCTGTCACTGGATTTTCTTTTCTTTTCTTTTCTTTTTCTTTTTTTTTGGAGAGGTTTTTGCTATAGGGCGCATGCACTCGCCAGACAGACAGAGAGAGACAGGGAAAGTCACCTCATCAAATAGCAAGACATTTTATTTGTATATATGTGTGTGTGTGTGTGTGTGTATAAGCTATTATACATAAAATAACTTATTATAAGTTGTTATGTCACATATATGTATGTATGTGTATATATGTATATATATGTGTGTGTATATATATATATATATATATATATATATACACACACATATATATACATATATACACATACATACATATATGTGACATAACAACTTATAATAAGTTATTTTATGTATAATAGCTTATACACACACACACACACACATATATACAAATAAAATGTCTTGCTATTTGATGAGGTGACTTCTTTTTATTGGAATTGCAGCTACTCTAATTCCTTTTTTTTTCATATAAAAGTTAAATTAAACTTGTCTGTATCTACAAAGGATCTTGTAGAGAATTTGATAGAAATTGTGTTATATTGGGGCCAGCAGGTGGCTTGGTGGTTAAGGGTGTTGAACTCCAACATGGCCAACTGCAATTCGAGTCCCCAGCCTGGTGGCTTTTGCTCTCTCTCTCTTTTACTCTATCCCTCTCTGGTCAAATTGAAATAAATAAATGAATGAAGAAATAAAGTTAAGCAAAAACAATTTTTTTTAAAAAAAGAAAGAAATTGTGTTCTATCTCTATATCAGTTTGGGACAATTAACAGCTTGCCTCGTTCTTTTAATCTATGAGTAGAGAAGCTCTTCCATTTCCTTGGCTCTTCTTGCTATCTGTTATCAGCGTTCGGTCACTCTCAGCGCACAGGTTTCCCTAGATTTACTCCTAAGCATCTCATTTTCTCTGAGTCACTGCAAGTGTTATTGCATTTTCAACTTCAGTTTTCATGTGTTCATTGTTAGTATGTAGAAGAGCAATTGAATTTTGTGTGTTGATCTTATATCCTATGACCTTACGGACCTCATCATTAGATCTAGGAGTTTATTTCTAGATTCCTTTGGATTTTGGAGTAGACCATCAGGTCACCCGTAAATACATGCAGTCTTGTTTCTTTTCTTTTTTTTTTTCTCTGACCTGCATGACTTTTCCTCTTACTGAGCTGGCTAGCTCTCGCGGGGCTGTGTTTAACAGCAGTGGTGAGAGTCGGCATCCCTGCCTTGTTCTGCATCTTAGGGGAAAGCATTCATTCATTTCATACTTTTAAGTTTTTTCAACACAAAAATAAAATCAAACCCATTAATCCCCTACGTCTCACTATTTACGGTGGGCTTCATTGTTCTATTTTAAGTGGGTTTTAAATAACTCTTTTCTTGGTATCAATTTCTCTTGGAAATGAAGGGCCCTCTCCTGTAACTCCCCTGCCTTCTCTTCTCCAGTTCACATTTTTTTAGTGTGTGAACTTTGACGCCCTCTAGTGGCTGCACGGAGCCACGTCCCCTCTGGAGCCCTGCGGAGAAAGATGTGGTCTGGGATGGGATGGAGCCCAGGGACCGAAGGCTCCATTCTCTTTTCTCCATCCCTACCCACCCAGAGCAGTCACCCTTGAGGCCCGAGGCCCCAGGGGACAGGCTGACCCCTCCTCTCGTGGTGTCTGCAGACGGCAGTCTTGGGTGCCTGGCCTGGTCAGGTGGTGGCGCCGGTGTCCGGGAATAACCTGGGCGTGCGGCGTGCGGAGATCAAGCCCGGCGTGCGCGAGATCCACCTGTGCAAGGACGAGCGCGGCAAGACCGGGCTGCGGCTGCGGGCCATCAACAAGGTAAGGCAGCGCCCCGGGGCGGAGGAGCGGGCCCTCTGGGAGGGGACTGGCATGGCCCCGGTGCTGGACAGCGCCTGCCCGTGCCCCCGCCCCAGCACTGCCTGCCAGCTCCTCTGAGCTTGGGGCTGCAGCTGCCCACCAGCCCCAGAGGGGACAGCACACGTGGGCTTCCGTCCACAGTAAGACAGGTGCAGGTCCTGGGCTGGAACCCCCAGGCCCAGGCTCTTCCTGGCAATCCCCTACCAAGGTCTCAGGGCAGACGTGGGTGCGAGCAGGGACCCTGCACTGGTTTTTCTGTGGGCTCCTGTGGCTCAGAGCCCACCTTCTCCCTTTGGCTTCCGACTCACAGAATGGAAGCCAGGAGTCCCCACCTGTGCAGTGCGGTCCAAGAGTGCTTGAGGGTGCAGCCTGTGGCTGGGGTTAAAATCCTTCCTAGCTGTGTGACCTGGAGTGTTTCTGCCTCAGGAAGACGGGGTAACCAGTGTACTTGCCGTCTAGGTACCCCGGAGGCTTCTGGAGTACTGGCAGGAAAACAGCTTGCAGGGGCACCTAGGCCAAGGGTGGGCCAAGGACACTGACTCGGGCCCTTCTCTCCAGGGACTCTTTGTGCAGTTGGTCCAGGCCAACACCCCTGCATCCCTCGTGGGGCTGCGCTTTGGGGACCAGATCCTGCAGATCGATGGGCGTGACTGTGCGGGGTGGAGCACCGACAAAGCGCACCGGGCGGTGAAGCGGGCCTCAGCGGAGAAGATCGTCATGATTGTCCGGGACAGGTGAGTAGCCAGGTCCGAGGAGCCTCTGCGTCCAGCCCCACCCACGTGCTCAGGCCCAGCTCACTGTCCTTCCCCACCAGGCCCTTCCAGCGGACTGTCACCATGCACAAGGACAGCACAGGCCTGGTTGGCTTTGCCATCAAGAAGGGGAAGGTCGTCTCTGTGGTCAAAGGGAGCTCCGCAGCCAGCAATGGGCTCCTCACCAGCCACTACGTGTGCGAGGTGAACGGGCAGAACGTCATCGGGCTGAAGGTAGGCCGCGTCCCGCCTGCCCAGGGAGAGCAGGGGCTGGGGTGACCACAGGGGCGAGGGTGCTAGGCTCTGTCTGGGGCAACCTGCTGCTCCCACTGAGCCTCAGCTTCCTCGGCCGAGGTTGCTGTGAGGATTCAATGCGACAGTGTACCTGGGGCTCTGGGCACAGTGCCAGGCATGCAGTGCTCAGTACATATTAGCTACTGTCACTATGACGGTGTATGTGAGGGCCTGTGTGCCCCGGGGAGCGGGATGGAAATACAGGCGAGACAATGCATGTGAGGGTGTATGTGAGGGCCTGCGTTCCTGGGGAGCTGGACGAGAAGGGGGGCATGATGGTGTATGTGAGGGTGTATGTGAGGGCCTGTGCACCCGGGGGAGTGGGATGGGAAGGGGGCGTAACGGTGTATGTGACGGTGTATGTGAGGGCCTGTGCACCCGGGGGAACGGGATGGGAAGGGGGCATGACGGTGTATGTGAGGGCCTGCGTTCTTGGGGAGCTGGACGATAAGGGGGGCATGATGGTGTATGTGAGGGCCTGCGTTCTTGGGGAGCTGGACGATAAGGGGGGCATGATGGTGTATGTGAGGGCCTGCGTTCTTGGGGAGCTGGACGATAAGGGGGGCATGATGGTGTATGTGAGGGCCTGCGTTCTTGGGGAGCTGGACGATAAGGGGGGCATGATGGTGTATGTGAGGGCCTGCGTTCTTGGGGAGCTGGACGATAAGGGGGGCATGATGGTGTATGTGAGGGCCTGCGTTCTTGGGGAGCTGGACGATAAGGGGGGCATGATGGTGTATGTGAGGGCCTGCGTTCTTGGGGAGCTGGACGATAAGGGGGGCATGATGGTGTATGTGAGGGCCTGCGTTCTTGGGGAGCTGGACGATAAGGGGGGCATGATGGTGTATGTGAGGGCCTGCGTTCTTGGGGAGCTGGACGATAAGGGGGGCATGATGGTGTATGTGAGGGCCTGCGTTCTTGGGGAGCTGGACGGGAAGGGGGCGTGACGGTGTATGTGACGGTGTATGTGACGGTGTATGTGAGGGCCTGTGCACCCGGGGGAACGGGACGGGAAGGGGGGCATGACGGTGTATGTGACGGTGTATGTGAGGGCCTGTGCACCCGGGGGAGCAGGACCACACGGACGCTCCTTACGCTGGTGCTTCTGTTTGCTGGATCGCGGTCGGCAGGAATGTTTTAGATAACTGCTACTGAGAAATCCATTTCTGATCTCAGTTCCTTCCCCAAGGGGCATGTGTGGAGAATTTGTATCTTTAAAAACAGTGGAGGAGCAGGTCGTCCAGAGCTAGTGCTATGCACGTGGAGGAGGTTGGGTGCCCCTGGGGACTGGACCATGGACGATGATGAGCCACATGGGTTCTGGTCCCCAAACAGGTGACAGTGGTCTTATAGCTGACTCAGTGCTGCTTGGACTAGGGGTGGCTCTCAGACCCAGCTGTGACTTAGAGGCCCTTGTCTCCCTGCAGCCCGAGCTTAGGGACTCATGCGGCAGGCTCCCCAGCAGAAGTGGCCTGAGCGGAGGCATCTCACTCCACCGCGGCACAGACTGTAGGCCAGTTCTCTGCTCACCACGAGGGCCAGCACCAAGCCATCCCATCACACAGCTGCTTCCTTATGCCTGATAGTCTCCCACCCTCCCTTGGAGGCTTCATCTGAGGGCTCAACAAAGTCCTCCCTAATATGTTTTTGAGATCCCTCCTGCGGCATCCCCCCCCCCTTCCTCTGGGATCAGGCATGACAATGTACAGAAAACTCATTGTATGTAAAAAGCTGGGTACAGTGGGCCAGCAGGTGGCATGGTGGTTAAGGCACTGGATCCTCACATGGTTGACCATGGTTCAAGTCCAGACCCAGTGACTAGAAAAATCACTCTGGGTATGTGTATGCCCAGGATCCTAAGAGGAGAATGAGGAGAAAGAATTGAGGAGAAGGGATTGCGGCATGGCCATCTCCCCCAGGGGGTGGTTTCTCACTTTCTTTCTCTCTCTCTCTCTCCCCAGTGAGTTCACATGCCATATGGCAAAACCTTAAAAAAAAAAAAAGTTGGATACAGCCATGCCAATCCTGAGTCATGGAGCTTTCAATATTAGTGAATTTCTTCCTTTTAAAACATGACAGTTCTTCGATCTCAAACTGCTCATGCTGAGATGTGATTCTCACGTCCTCCCTGATGGCCCCAGGCATTATCACAAATTCATCAGTCACTGTCAAACTAGGGGGCTGTGAGGCTCTTGGGGACTGGGTTTGCCCCTTTACTGAATGGCCCCAGCAGCTAAGTTTCTTGGGATCATTCATCTTGTCAGCGTTTGGTTATTTCCACTGGTGGCCATCAGTATCCTGTCTAACACATCCCTCTTCCATTCGCGAACAACCAAGCAAACACAGGAGGTCATGCGTGTGCATAGGAAGGTCACTAGGCTCTCAGGAAGGACCAGAGCGTCTATGTTTGTACTGTCCTGCACACTTTGCTTAGAGACTTCTAGTCTCTGGTTGTCCCCATGATCTTAGTGGCTTCCGCAGGCCTTTCTCCTTACCAGCCAACAAAGCGTGAGAGGACGAGGACCTGGGGCCTGGCTCAGACTGGCTGCGCAGCATGAGCCAGAGGGAGGGTGGGTAGGCCCAGGTCCTTCACTGGGTGCTCATTCTCTTTGTGACTGGAGCTGGGGGATGGCATAGGAGTGGTGGGCTCGGCGAGTCTCCTGGCCCTTGGGAGGGGAAGGACATGGCGGTTGCCAGGCCCCGCTGTGGCCTTGGAGGCGAGGGCGGGCCGTGGTGCTCTCATCGGACCACCGCGCTCCTCAGGTGAGATGCTCAGTCATGATCAGTGGGACCTCCTCTGGGGTCTGCCCAGGACCCTCACCTGACCGCCTTGGGGTCCAGGGCAGCCTGGCACCTACAGCCGGTGTCAGTGGTGTCCTCTACGGTAGCCACACTGGCCCATCCACAGAGGGGCCTGCAGAGCCACCCCTGGCCCCCGCCCCAGGTGCCCACTCACTCACCTCCTCTCTAGGATAAAGAAATCATGGAAATTCTAGCCACAGCTGGGAGTGTCATCACCCTGACCATCATCCCCACTGTCATCTACGAACACATGGTCAAAAAGTAAGCCTCGCCCTCCCTCTGCCTCCCCGTCCCTCCCCGCCTAGCTCCAACCCCACCCAGCTCAGGACACCCTGGGTGTGGCCTGCCAGATTGCTCTGCTTACAAAGGGGCAGGAACCGGCACTCCGGAATCCCCGGCCCTTTGGTACCCCCAGTCCCCCAACCCCCCCAGCCCTCCTTCCAGGGCGGCTGGTGACTTCTTAGCCCATCATTTAGGCCCACAGGCTCCAGAAGGGAAGGGGAATGAAGGCAAAAGCTGCAGCTGTGTTCACTGTCTCTAGGTTGTCCCCAACCCTGCTTCACCACACCATGGACCACTCTGTCCCTGACGCCTGAAGCCACAGGAGGGCAGCTCCCGCCCCACCCTCCCGCAGGAAAGCCCTGGGTCAGGCTGCTGTGAAGGACGTGTTCAGTGGCATGGTGCTGCCGTGTGCACACAGGCTTCCTGGAAGGGCAGGCTGGACCAAGGCCCTGGCGGCCCGCAGGCCGGGCCTCTGAGCTGGTTTAAATGCGGAGCATGTAGACGGGCCAGCCAAACACTTCCGAAAGTTGCAGCGGAGTCCCTTTCAAGGTTGTGCCTCTCCCAGGGAAACAGCTACACATTTGGAGAGCAGAGCTACATTCTTTGTGAGATTTTTTTTTTTTTTTGCATTTACTTAGCCTTTGTCACAGACTGTATGTATAATAGTTATAACCCTTTGCTGTCTTTTGAATAAAGATCTGATTTTAAATGAATCCCTTTCTCAGAAGTAATTGAAAATTCCAGAAGCCTTGGTCCCATGACATGTAGGGCTGGTTTTCTTCTAAGTAGTGAGCCCAAGGCCTCTGAGAGCGGTGCTTTGGCTCTGCCTCCTCCAGTGCCGCCTGCCAGTCTGGCTCAGGGGTGACTAGGACCAAGGGACAGTGGGACTATGGGGCAGCAGGGCTGGGCAAGGGACACTGGCATGGAGCTGAGTGGCTTTGGCTGCTTCTGCCTCTGCAGAATGTGCCCAAAGTCACTTCAGGGGGTGCTGGGAGGCTGAACTGCCATGTACCTGCAGTGTCCAGAGGTCTGCCATCCGCTACAGCCGGAGGGGATGGTTCCAGACTGTGCCTGACAGGGGAGCAGGGAGCCCCCAGCCCATGCCGTAGAGCCTGGTCAGGCTGAATCAGCACACGGCTCCCTGCTTCCCTCCACAGCAAAGCTGGCTGGCCCTGGCCTCTCCCTGGTCAGTGCTCTGACCCCTGTGCCGTGGGAGGATGGTGCGAGCCCCCTCTCCCCCTTTCAGAAAGATGACACAGTGAAAAGAAAATAGGCCGAGGCTCTTGCTGTGTTTTCATGCTTTAATTCAGAGCTGTCTGCTGTAGATACAACTCTGTCTGAACAAGAGGACAAAGGAGACAAGAGTCGAGGCCCCTCCCACCTCCCCTCTCCCACGGCCCCTGAATTCTGTGGGTCGGCCTATGTGGGAGTGCACTGTGACCCGTTTGATCGGCCTCAGTCAGAGAGGAAGCCCCTTGGTAGGCCTTGTGATTCGCCCCCCTCCCGGAAGTGCTGTCGGATACCCCTGTGCTAGTGGCGACTGGGAAGGTGTTTCAGTGAAGAGCTAAGTGATCCCATTGGGAGATATTTGAAATAAACTCCGCCCAAGGCCAGCTGTCTGGGCCAGAGCCTGGGCCCCGTCCCACCTCCTGCATGGCCCGGGCCCTAGAACTAAGAGAAGCTACTCTGGCCACTGAGCTCTGAGAGACCAGCAGTTCCAGAAGGTGGTTCCTGGAGACATTGCTCCTAGGGGCTTAATTGTCTCTAGCTGGAGGCTGGGGAGAGAGGAGGCTCCGAAGATTTCTGCTCTAGAAGCAGGGGCAGGAGGGCAAGGTCACAGCCCAACAGGAGGAGGTATAAGCGGGAAGGAGAAGGGGAGCTTTGGAAGATGAGCTCTCTCGAGGGGAGACCGCAACTCCTGCCCTGAGCCTTATACCTCGGCCTACATCCTAGGCCCTGTGTGTAGTCAGGGCCTGAAGCCTGAGCCTGTGGGCTACTGCGCCTCCACTGCCCAGGGCCGCAGGCAGCGCTGCGCCCTTTGCATAGATGCGGGGTGCTGAACACATGCATGCACACCCACACTCAGGAGCCGGGCCAGCGCTGCCGGCCAGCACCATCCCAGGGTCTGCCCCAGGGCTGGGCGGTTAGCAGCATCCTCCACTGACATGAAGAAAAGCCCATTGTAGGGCCCACCAGGATGCCCAAAGAGGGTCCCTCAATGCTGTGGGCCAGGGCCCCAGAGACCCACATAGGCAGTGCTAGGCCAGAACAGGAGAAGGGGCAGCGGCCAGGCCCTCACCTCCCCCCAGGGCATCAACCACAGCCCCCCCCCAAACAGGGGGCTTCTCCAGCAGCAAGAACAGGTGGACATCGGCCCTGCCCTGCCCACATCCACTGACACACAAGACACAGTAGGAAGAAGGCCACAGACAGCGGGACACGGACAGGAGCAGAGCGCTGCGCAGCTTGGCTGGAGTTCATGATCAAAGTAGGTAGATCGGATGTTGTGAGTCCGTACGTTAATTTTCTTAGCAAAGCTTCAACTATTTCTAGGAGACACTGTGCAGCTCGGCGAGGACTTGGTCCAGGAGGCTGGCTGGTACCAGCTTGGCTTTGGGTTGGTTCTGTCCACTGCCCCCTCCGTGGCATGACCCCAGTGTTCTGGGGGAGCCCCAGCCAGGCCCCAGACATTCGGGCTTGGTCCTACAGGGGCGGTGGGGGTGCTCCACAGAGGATGGCTGGTCTGAGGCCCCGACCCAAGTGGGGGGAGCTTTGGAGGCACAAAGTGCGTGGCCAGGGGCGGGGGGGGGCCGGGCCCGCTGGGGTTTTTTAGTGCATGCAGGTGCCTCCACGAGTGGAGGGCAGAGAGGATGGCGGAGCCCACAGTCAGCAATGGCTGTTGGAGCAGCAGGGTGGGGGCAAGCACCCCTGGGTGGCCCCTAGGCCAGAGGGGGAAGACCCAGGGTCCCATCAACCCCATTCAAATATGGGGCCTAGCCTCCGAAGAGCAGGTGGGGTGACCAGATGGGTGCACCCTCTTTGGGGGAAGAGCAGCAGGTCTACTTTATAAAATAATAATGGTAATGAAATGTGAGCAGCTTTGCTGGGGGACTCAGATGTGGTCCCAGGGTGGGGGTGGGGGGCAGTGAACATTCCCAGGCCAACCAGGCTTAGGCTGGGAGCAGGAGGCTGCAGAGCTCCCACCCAGCCTGCCACACCCCTGCCTGGGAAACACATGCCAGGAGACCCTGCTTTGGCCTGGAAGAACTTCATGGCTTTGATACCCCACCTTGTGGTTCATCCGGCCACAATTCCCCACCCTCAGAGGCCAATAGGGCTAAGATAAGGAACCCTCACCCCAGAAGGTGAGCTACTCCCTTGCTGGCGATCCTGGGGGGGTGGGGAGAGAACCAAGCCCCAAAGTGAACATAGTGCAAAGCAGAAGTTGGTTAGGCCTGGGGCCCCCGGAGAAGTGGTGGGCAAGCTCCCAGGGCATTTCCAACCAGCCGAGGATCCCTGAGTCCAGCCCTGCCTCCCCGCTGCAGGCAGCTGGTCTCATCTCCGCAGGCTGCAGGAGCCCCCTGAGTGCCAGCCCTGCCTCTTCCTCTTTCTCCAGAGCTGGAGGACTCCCCAGCCAGAGGCTGGGGCTCGCCAAGCTTGCAGGCTTAGCCCTCTTGGGAAGAACGCTCTGACACACCCAGAAGTGCCAAGACAAAAATGGACTGTGGGGAAGGCCTGGGATGAACAGACAGACACAGACCCCTCTGCCCCTGCCTCCTCATGCCCCAGCACTTCCCTCTAGCCCCTGGCCCTAACGGCGCCTCCAAACCCCCATGCAGGGGCAGTCTGGGGACTCAGGGGTGGGGGGAGGCAGTGCAGGCCCACTGGCTCAGCCCCTGCCCCGAGTCCCTGCGAGGGTTGTCAGCACTTGGGGCTCGGCTGCCTCAGTCTGAGGAGATAATACTGGCCCAGGAGCCCGGGCTGAGGGCAAGGGGTGGCTTAGGAGAGAAGGCAGGAGTGGGCAGGGCCCTGGACAGGCCAGTGCAGGGAGGGGAGGCTCCGATGGCAACTCCAGCCCAGCCTCCCCAGGTAGATACAGCCAGAGACTTCCTGAGCAGGGTCTGCCCTGTCCCAAGGGCCAGGTGGACCCGGGTACCAGGCCAGGGCCCCTCCCACCTTCTCTCTCTGTGGTCCATCCCACCCGTCCCCCTGCCTTTGGTCTTCCTTTTGGGATGCCTTTCCCCAGCCCCGACTCCCAGCCCCCGGCACTGTTGACATCCTAGGAAAAAACAGGTCGAGACCCAAGGCTGAATAAATAAGCTGACGCCCCTGGGAGATGCGAGGGGGAGGAGAAGGGCATCCCTACAATCAGTGGTCAGGCCGCCAGAGCCGCTGCCCCTGCCTGGCGGGGCTTCCTCAGAGCTGGGAGCCGCCACCCGCTGGGCTGCGGCACGGGCGGGCCAGCGACGCGGTTTTTTTTTGAGTGCAAGGCCACGGTGCAGCAGCCCCGCAGCAGGGAGCTGATGTTGTAGATGGGCTGGCCCTGGCGCCGCTGTGAGCGGCACAGCCAGGCCACCGTGGGCACGGCCGGCACCACCACGGCCAGCAGATCCACAATGTAGTGGCGGCTCCAGTAGCTCTTGGGCTCCTTTTCAGCTGTGGCTGCCTCCTCCTCCTCTTCCACAGGGCATACCACGCTCACCGACAGGCCAGGGTTGGGGTTGGCACCAGGCCGGTGGGGGGCGGGCCCATGGGTGACAGGCTCAGAGGCCTCGAGCTCGTCACCCACGGTCACCACCACTGCTGAGTTGGGGTCTCTGGGCCCTGGGGGGTGATGGTCCGGCTCTGGGCGCCCGTCCCCTGACTCGGGAAATGTCCCACAGACCTGGGCCTGGGTCACTTTCTCCAGGATGGTGTCCAGATCAGGCTGGTACTGCACGAAGTCCGTCTGGATGGCACGCTCCTGCATGCAGCTGGCCTGCACGCCAGCCTCCATGCCACACAGAAGCTTCTCATAGGTGTTGCTGGCGGGGAAGCGGGGGCCCAGGCTGAAGGAGCTGTGTAGCGAGGTCTCCTCGGGGCCGCAGTCCACCCCTGACGACAGCAGACTGCTGGCCTCTAGCCCGTCCGTACGGCTCAGCGAGTCAACGGCT